GGGGTGTTGAACGGCCGCACGCGTTGTCTCCTGGCGAACGCGCACCCGTTTTCACTCACGGGTTTTCGGTCTTGGCCTCTTGTATCGGGGCGAGAGGGAAAGAGGTGAAAGCGTCTGTACGATTTGCCTTACTGATTTTACTACGTTTAAGATCGCCTAGTTTTTCCTAGCCTTATCTCAAAGCAAGCAAAACCTACTGGAGAAGAGTGAGTGATGGGTGCTTATTTTTGTGAGAGGACCCTACACAAGTTCTTACATAAATCATGGGGACTGTGGCACATTCGACAGCATGTTTTCCTCCCTTGTGTCTAATACTCAGTTGTCACAACGTGTTCTGTTGTGAATAAGTGACAGTTGATCAGAAGGTAGACGTATCCCTAAAAGCATGGCTTCTTCAGGAAGCTGAAATACTGTTTTGAAGGGTTGAGTATAATAAATGCTTCTGAATTTAAAAAAGAAAGTCAAAAGCTCAAAATTGCTTGTATTATGTTGATATTTTTTTTGGTTAGTGGAAAGGTAGAAGGCCAGCCCAATGGTGACACAATCCCAGCTGAGCAAGCCAACCCTTCAGATGACACTGTTGCTGGTGCTGGGAGTCGTCAGAATGATCAGATAGTGCAGAAAATAGAGGAAGTGCTCTCTGGAGCCCTTGATACAGAGCTGCAGTGCAAATCAGGTAAATGAAAACACATTTGGCAAATATGTTCTTGTTTAAGAAGGTTGTCATAGTGTTTAAAATGGAATCATTTTTACAGACATGGAAGAGTACTTTTCAGTACTGCTCCTCTCGCCAAGCTTCATCTGACATGTTGTATGTTTATTGTAATGTTTGTTAAGTATTTTTTTGTCTACTGTGATTCACAATCATAGATGGACAGAGAAATACGTAGCTTAAAAATTGAAGCTGATTACATGAAAGCATTACTTAGTGTATGAACAAGTTATTTTTCTTTACTCTCCATTACAATAATGCTAAAATGTATAAATACCCATATGTATATATAATTGTGTTTTATTTTGTATTATCTACTTCACAGTCTCAGTGAGCAGTTCTTGCTAACAGAGCTGGTACTGATGGATAGAAGCATTGTTTGTTGTGTTGTTTTGGATTGGTTTGCAAGATTATTTCTAAAAATAATTTATTAGAATTCAGAACTGTATGATTAACTGCTCTGTCAGAGTAACATGCTTTGTAGTTTTAAAATGAATAATGCACATATCTTTAAGATGTAGATACTTGGATTGCAATCTTCCAAAGGTTAAGAAATTTTTATATACCAATCTCATAACTTCAGTAAACTACTGGATTTATTATGACAAGAAGTTGCATGTGAATATCCCTTCTCAGGGGACTAGTCCTTTCTGTGAAATTTCTGAATCAGAAGAGTTAGTGAGATGAAGGCTGTAATTACTGCATTTCTAATTTTTTTGAGTTGAAACATAGGTGACTGCTATGTGCTTGGTAAGTATAGTTCCAGAGTGATTTTTATTTTTTATTTTTTATTTTTTTTAAATTAAGAGGCAGTGTAGAAAACTATTTCATACATTCTGTTTTCAAGGTTTTGGGATTGCTTTTTCTTTCTTCTATGTACAGTGGCTTGTTTACCTTGAACATTTTCAACTGTCTTTCAATTATGCTGTACAAGCAGCACTTTTAGCTGGCATCTGGGGTTTTTGGTTTTGTCTTTTTATTCTGTCGTGGAAGAATAGAGCAGGCTAACATGGTAATAAGTAAGTGAGACCTATTAACCTGGAAGTTAATAAACTTTACCTATGGTAAACATTTCCACTGTTCATATCTAGAAAGGAGTTAATTTTGCTGTTGGACGACAGAGATTATCTGAAAATGCTTTGTAAAAAAAATGCAGGTCATTTGACTCTGCTTCATTGTCCTCTTTCAGTGCATTCACAGCAGTGTTGGTGGAAACATTTTTTTGTTGAGCTGTTTATTCCGTAAAAATACACGTGCTTAAAACTACACGCGATACTTGTTTATGGAATCTTAAGTCACATTCATTTAATAGTACTGCGGTTACCAACAGGTTTTGAACAATTTTGCATTGTTCACTTGGAGGAATATGCTTTGTAATCACAGCCAGATTATAATTGGAGAATCCATATTGCTACACTGGCCAGTATAAATATAATCATTGAAGGTAACATGCAAGCAGATTTGAATATATAGCTCATATTTAACCGCAATTATAGCAAGTTGCTTTTAATAGAAGTGCATTTCTCATGAAAGCATGTCACTAGACCCAGAGAAGGGTAGGAACCTAACAGGTTAAATTCAGAGGGAAATGAGGTATAGAATTAAAAGAAGGTGATTGACACCTCAGTCTTCCTCTTTTCTTTCCCTCTCAGTAACTGCTTGTCCCTGCAGTCACCTGAATTTATTAGTTACTTTCCCGTTTGAAGCAGATGCTCTATTAGGTTCTTGCAGGTTTGCAGTTGCTTGTGGTCCAGTTTGAGCACTGCCTTAAAGCTTGTTTGGAACCGGGGAAGTAGATGCTGGTTCCCCAAATGTGCTCGAAGAACTTATTCAGTGAGGAGCTTAATCAGTAAATACACTTAGATAATTTCTAACACACTAGTAATATTGGGCTAACTTGCAGTTTAAAGCATAGTAGGAGATAATGGACTGGCCACATCTTATACAGTAAGCATATCACCACTTAGATAATTTCTCTGGAAAATGGGAGTTCTTGTCTCACTTCCACGTGCAGCTTGGTGTAGTGTAAAAGTACATCTCCAGCCTTCTGGAAGAGTGCACTGCACAGTGGAATATATGTGGAAGTGTATGCAACTACTTTTTAGAAAGAGTCATGCTCCCACTGGAACTGTGTTGCTGACCAAGAATATTTGGTTAGCTTTTTGAAAGAAGAATTAGTTATTTTTACTTGAAGTGACTCCTGAGAGGAATGATAAGAGGGCTGAAGAGGGAGTATGTGCTATTTTTATATGTAGTGAAGAAGGTATGAGTTTCAAGTTTAATTTTTTTGTACCTCTGTCCATGTGCTTGGTCGCTAGTCTAAAAGAACGTTTAAAATGTAGTTTTAATACCATTTACAATAAAAATATCATTTTTTCTAGATGTAGACAAAAATACTGTGAAAAATAGTACTCAGTCTACAAAAAGAAGCTCTACTGCTGAAGATGAAATTCCTAGAAAAAAGTCAAAGAAGAACAAGAAACACAAAAGCAAGAAGAAGAAGAAAAAGAAGAAGAAAAGGAAGAAAGAGAAGAAGCATAAAAAGCAGCCAAAGGAGTCGAAGTTGAGTACACGTCATGCAGAACATGCAGACTTGCAGCCTGCTTCTCACTTGATGCCAGAGAAATCAAGCTCCAAACTGAGTGTACAGCATGCAGGATTTGGAGATGCAAATCTGGCTGTCCAGGTGCAGCCAGAAGAACTGTGCTTAAAAGCAAGTGAGGGGCTTGACAGACAAGCTTTAGGACTTGTTTCTCATTCAAGAACTGATTCTCAGCAATCTGCAGAAAATCTTGGAAGTGAGAAGGGGACTTTGTGTGCAACAAACCCTCCATTTAATTTAGAAGGCAGTCAATCTGATATCCAAGGAAATGCTAGTATAACTCAAACTAAAATTTGCACTAGAGAAGAACAAATTCAGCAGTCTCATGAAAATATTTATCCTGTAGCTGTTAATGTGAGTGAAAAGGGTGTTCTTGTTGATACTGGAAATGATAGTTCATCTAGCATCCCGTCTGGAGTTGCCAATAAATCTGAAATTCAGAAAGATCCAGCAGCAACTCTAGCTTCAGGGGTAGTAGAAGCACTAAAAGGTTCAGAAGCTATTCTGAAATCTAAAGGCACTGGTGAAGTAAAAGTTTGGGGTACAGCTCTTGAGTCTGAGACCATGGAGGTGTTGACATACTCAGAAGCATCTCTGCAATCTCTGGCACAGGGGAGAGCAACAAGTTTAGGAGCAACTTCAGAATCGGTGTCTTTGGCAACTGATATGACAACAATTCCTAAATCTGCAAATCAGGCAGATCTGAATACTGTGAAGGTAGCTCATGTGTCTGTGGCCATGGAAGAAGTGAAAATTCCAGAAGCAGCTGAAAAATCTCTGCATTTGGGAAATGTGAAAAATGTGGAAAGATCTTTCGAATTAGGGGGTGTGAGCAGAACTTTGGAGCCAGCCCTGAAGCCCTCAGTTATATCTGATAGTTTGAGAGTGGCACAGTGCAGCCCCATGGAGGGTTCAGGTGTCTTGAAGGCAGATGTATGTTTGCAACATCCTTTTAAAATATCTGCAGTGACTGCTGCGACCCAGGTGGAAACAAGTGCCAAAATACCCCTGGGACCAGGAGCTGTTACAGAAGTGAAGGATATTGAACCAGCTAGAAGCTCTGCACATATGGAAAATGTGACAGCTTTGGAAGAAGCTCTACAGCCAGTTGCTGTAGTAAAGCCCAAAACATTGGAAACAGTCATGGAACCTGTAGGTGTTAGAGCAAAAGATGTCAGAGCAGCTCAAGAATGTCTGCCAGTTCAAGTAGTCAAAGATGTGGAGAGTACCACTGATGCTGCAGCAATGCTGAATGCATCAGGAGTGTTCCTACAACCTAAAGTCTTGACAGAAACAAGAAGTGTGGCTAGAACCCAGGAATCTGTGCTTCCAGCAGGATTGACGTATGTGAATGTGGTTGCAGATGCAAAAGGTTTAAAAGCAACTTCACAACCTGTAGCGGTTGTACAGACCTTCATCCCCCAAACAACTCCAGAAATCCAGATAGCCGAGGGTTTTAAAGGTCCACAAGTGACTGTGGAAGTTGCAGCACTAACAGGAGTAAAAGGTCAAGAAACAAGTCAAGCTACTCTGCAACTGGAAAGAACTAGTGCTTCAAAAATTTCAGAATCTACTCTCAAGCCTGTAGTTGTAACAGAGGCAAAAGTTTCAGAAGCTACTTTGTTACTGAGACAGCCGGAGGAGCTGAGAGAATCAAGATCTGAGAGTGAATCAAAGGCTGTGGTGGAAGCAAAAACTTTGAAAACAGCTTCACTGTCTTTGCAGATGGAAGGTGTGAAAGCTTCAGAAGCTGTGCATTGTGAAACTGTGGCCAGAGGTTTAGCAGCAACACTAGATTCAGCAGTGTCAAAAGGTTCAGAAATAAATCTAGATAGTAAGGCAAGAGTAGAAGCAGGCTCAGATGCCAGTCTCCTAGCTATGAAAGTCGGATCTGTGAGACCAGTGAAAAGTTTGGAAACAACTATAGGACCTGTGGCAGAGACAGAAGGGAAAGTTTCAGAAGAAGACTGGCACAGAGCTGGGACAGAGATGAGGACATCTTCATCACACCTGCCTGTAGGAGATCCAGCGTCTGTAGGTATGGCAAATATACAAGCTTTGAAAACAGTCTTGCAGCCTGGAACCCTTGCGGTGGCAAGAGGGTTAGGAGAAAATGTGTGTTCTGAAGCCAGAATAGGTGGCAAAGTCTTGGAAGCAAGTCCAGGACTTCTTGCCTTAGAAGAAAGGTCAGAAAGAACTGAATCAGTGGTTACATGTGTAAGTGTGGAACCAGTTAGAGAGTCTGAGGCATTAGTAGGAATGACACATCTGAAAACCACAGCAGAGAGAGAACATGCAGAAACAGTTGCTGAACCTCTTGGTGCAAGCAAAGCAAAGACTTCTGTCATTTCACAGTCTCAGGTCATGACACATACAAGAACCTCACAGACTGAGATAGTAGGGGAGATACCTGAACGAGCTACCAGTTCTGCCTCTGTAGAAGTGAGAGGCTTAGACAACTTGTCGGAAGTTCAGGCAGTTGCAGATGTAAAAGATGTGGAAGTGAGATCAAAAACTTCACACTTAACACAGATGAAAAATTTGGAAATGGTTGTGGGATCTGAAACAAGGACACTCATGCAAGGCCTGGGAAGGGTGTTGGCATCTGAGGTGGTTAGAGAAATGAGGCATTCTGAAGTGGCTTCAGAAGATCCAGACAAAGCAAAGGCAAGTAGCAAAGAAGCAATATTAGAACCTGTGCAAACAGTGACGGTGCCAACTTTAGAAACAAGTTCAAAATCTGTACAGGAACAGATAGTAAGTCATTCAGAAGCAGTATTAGAGTCTTTTCCCAGAGTGGAAGAAAAAGCTATGGCATCAGAAATAGTGACAGAAGTGAGAAACTTGAAAGGAACTTCGGAATCTAAGATTTTGACAGATGTGAGAACTCAGGGACCTACTGTAGAGTATATAATTGCAACAAGGAGGACAAGCACCAAAAAAAATGAGCCCTCGCTTATCAGTGTAAAAGATGTGGAAGAAGCTTCAGAAATGGAGAAAGCAATGAGAGCAAAATATTTGGAGCCAGGATCAGAAGCTAGAGAAGTGAGGTTGGAAAGTATGAAAGAGTCTGCAACAGTAGAGGTGAAAGGTTCTGAAACAGTTGAAGAGCCTGAGGTACACATGGATATCCAAGGTTTGGAAACTTCCCAACAGTCTGAAAATGGGGTGATGAAGGTTGTAGAGGATGCTTCAGAAGCTGTTCCAGAATCTTTGCATACTGAAAAGCAAGAACATCTGCAAGCCATTTTAGAAGCAAAACCTGGTGCAGAATGGAAGAGTACAGAAGAGGCTCCAGAAATCTTGAGTGCTGCTGAAATAAAATCTTCTGAAGCAGTTCCAAAACCAAGGGACATGAAAGATCTGGAAACAACACTGGAACATGAAGTGACAGCAGAAGTACAATATGCAGAAGGGGTGCAGGGTCAAGCTCAGGAATGTGAGATACTGGTTGAGAAGAAAGACGCAGAGCAAACTCAAGCATCTGAGCCTTTAATAGCAGAAACAGTTTTTAGTTCTTCACATGCAGCAGATGAAAAAAGTTCAGCAGAAACTCCTGAATCTGAAATAATCAGAGACACAAACCAGTTGGAAGCAGCTCCAGCTCATGTGGCAGAAACAGCAGATTTGGAAACAGCTTCTCTTCCTGAGACTGTTGTAGAGCTGAAAGATGCAGAAGGAGCTGTGGGGTTGGAGGCAGAGACAAAAGATTTAGAAGCAGCTCCAGTACCTGAGACTGTTACAGAAGCAGTTCCAGTACCTGTGGCAGAGGCAAGCCAGTTGGAAGTCATTCCAGAGGCTGAGGCTGTCAAAGAAGCAACTCCAGAACAGGAGTCAGAGAAAAGAGATTCAGAAACATCTGATGTGCAACCTGATGTGGCAGCACGAATGAGGGAGACTCTGATGAGACTTGAAAAAGTTATTGAAAAAAGTAGCCATAGAAGCAGTGATAAAAAACATGATGCAAAGAAACAAAAAAGGAGTCGCTCCAAGTCTCAGTCCAGGTCTAGGAAGCGGAAGAAAAAATCAAGGTCACGTTCTACTTCCAGGCGCTTGACCTCTAAAAGAGCACGTTCTAGGAGCAGAAACTATTCAAGTTCCAGAAAAAAACATTCCAAATCTAGATCCCGATCTGTGGAGAAGAGAGAGAGAAGAGTGTCTTCCCGGAGGTCCAGGCGCAGACGTTCCAGGTCGTCTGACCGTTACAGGTCTAAATCCAGATCAGCAGAAAAGAGAGGGAGTAGATTGTCTTCTGGGAGGTCCAGACGTAGACGTTCCAGGTCATCTGACCGTTACAGGTCTAAATCCAGATCAGTGGAAAAGCGACTGTCCTCTCGAAGGTCCAGACGTAGACGTTCCAGATCTTCTGACCGCTACAGATCCAAGTCCAGGTCAGTGGAAAAGCGACTGTCCTCTCGAAGGTCTGGGCGCAGACGTTCCAGGTCATCTGACCGCTACAGATCTAAGTCCAGGTCAGTGGAAAAGCGACTGTCCTCTCGAAGGTCTGGGCGCAGACGTTCCAGATCTTCTGACCGCTACAGGTCTAAGTCCAGGTCAGTGGAAAAGCGACTGTCTTCCCGAAGGTCTGGGCGCAGACGTTCCAGATCTTCTGACCGCTACAGGTCTAAATCACGGTCAGTGGAAAAGAGAGGGAGCAGGTTGTCCTCCTGGAGATCCCGCCGCAGACGTTCCAGGTCTTCTGACCGTTCTAAATCTAGATCCAGGTCTTCAGAAAAGAGAGGGGGCAAAGAATACTCATGGAGGTTCAGACATAGAGGGTCTGGTTCCTCTGATCGTTCAAAATCTAGGTCAAGATCTGTTGAGAAGAGAGGTCGGAAGGCATCTGTCCGGAGGTCTAAACGTCAGCGCTCAAAGTCCTCTGACCGTTACAAGTCTAGATCCAGATCAGTAGAAAAAAGGGATCGAAAGCAATCATCGCGGAAGTCTAAACGTCAGCGCTCAAAGTCCTCTGACCGTTACAAGTCCAGATCCAAGTCAGTGGAAAAAAAGAAGGAGTCCTCACGAAAATCTAAGCGTCGCCGCTCAAAATCTTCTGAACGTTATAAGTCTAGGTCTAGGTCTGTTGAAAAAAAGCGCAAGGAATCTTCAAAAAAGTCCAAACGTAAACGTTCCAAGTCCTCTGATAGTGTTAAGTCTAGGTCCAAATCTATAGAAAAAAGAGAGAGTAAGTTATCCTCAGGAAAATGCAGTAGCAAGCATGTGGAGTCTTCTGAACCTCAGGAGTCAACCAGATGCCTTGAAAAAGTAGTTCCTGAACCTTCTTTTGCAAGTGAAGGCAGCTCCTCCAAATCCTCTAATGGTCCCATGTCAGAAGGAGTAAACGGCCCAGAGCTGCCACCAGTATCTGAAAGTGAATTAGCCAAAACTCATGATAATCTTGAGAAAAGCTCTCCTGTTGAAAAAACAGCAGGTCTGCAACCTTCTGTGGTGTCTGAATTTGATAGCTTCAAAACCCCAGATGACCAGGAATTGAGATCCATGCCTACGGAGAAAACACAAGTTTCAGAACCTTCTGTGACATCTGAAAATGGATCAGCCGAAAAAGCAGTGACTCTGGAGTCTTCATCGATACCTGAACTCACATATCCCACATCGAGGTCAAGTTCCTCATCTGTTGAAAAAGGTGGAGATGCAGAAAGTTCTTCAGCAACAGAATTTCAGCGCTCTGCATCTCATGAAGAAGAGTCAAGATCTACCTCTCTCAAAGAAATAGAGGGTCCAGAGCCTCTTCTGCCATTTCAAACTGGATGCTCTGTATCTTCTGATGATTACAAGACAATCTCCTCGTCCTCTGGAAAAACAGAGGTTCAGGGGTCTTCTCTGATAACTGAAAGTGCACTCTCTGACTTGTCTGATGGTCATGAATTGAGACATATCCCTGTTGCAAGACCCTGTGAAGGTTTGTTTTTTGAAGTACCTGAAAGTGAACCTTCCAAGCTGGCTGACAGCTCTCAGTCAAGGTCACTATCTTCTGAAACAGTAGAGGCTCAAAAATCTTTACCAGCACCTCCGGTTACATGCTCTGCATTCCCTGATGTCTGTGAGTCAGCCTCCTTGCCTATTGAAAAGGACCAGATGCAGCCTTCTCTGGCTTTTGACCGTGGATGCTTCAAGTCTCCTGATGGACATGAATCAGGATCCAGCTTTGCTGCACAAACAGAGGAGCTTCCGTTGCTATCTGAAGATGGGTCCTTCAAGTCACCTGGTGGAAATGAACAGAGATCTTTATCTGTTGAAAAAATCAAGGCTCCAGATGCCTCCCTGACATCTGAGTGTGGTCCTGTTGAAATCTCAGGTGACCTCATTTCAGCATCATCTTTTGAAAAAATGCAGGAAGTTGTAGTGACAACTGTAGGACATGGCTGCAAGTCTTCTGAAGTTCATGAGTGCAGATCATCTGTTGACAAAGATTTAGATGGCCCGACACTTTCACAAGTACTTGAAATTGACTGCTCTGACTCTTCTCAAATGCATGAATCAAGATACCTGCCTGCTGGAAGAACAGAAGGTACAGAATCTTTCCTAATGTCTGTAAGTGGAATTCCTGTGTGCCATGATGGCCATAAATCAAAATACAGTTACTTTGAGAAAATGGAAGGTGCAGAACTCTCATTGGCATCTGAGCTTAGGTGTTCCGTCTTCCCTGAAGGCTATGAATTGACATCCACTGCAGTTGAAAAAGTGGAGATACGGAAGCCTCCTCTCCCATTGGAAAGTGGGCTCTCCAAGTCTGCTGATAGTCATGAATCAGTAAGCACGTCTACTGAAAAATTACAGGCCCCAGTGACTTCTCTGACATCTAAAGGTGGGGTTTTCCTGTTGTCTGATAGTCATGAATTGAGACCTATCTCTGCTGAAAAAGTAGAGGTGCGAACATCATCTGAACTCCAATGCATTGCATCCCCTGATGGCCACAAGTTGAGACCTGTCTGTGATGAAGAAATACAGGTGCAGGAGCCACCTCTGGTACTGGAAGACGGATGTTCTATTTCCTCTGGTGGTCATGAGTTGACATCCACTGCTTTTGAAAAAGTCGAGGTAGACGAGCCTTCTCAAATGTCTGAAAATGAATACACAATAAGGCTTGATGGCCCAGAGTTGACATCAACCCCTGCTGAAAAAACAGAGACACGGGAACTTTATCGGATGTCTGAAGAAAGGTGCTCAGTGTCCATTGAGAGCCAGGAGTTGCAGTCACCCCCAGTTGAAAATGTAGAAGTGCAAGTGCCTGCTCTGACATCTGAAAATGAATATGCTGTATCTTGGGAGGGCCAGGAGTTTAGATCTAGCTCTCCTGAAAAGGTAGAGATGCAGGAGGCTTCTGTAGTACCCGAAAATGAGTATGCTGTGTCTTCTGAAGATCACGAATCGTCGTCTTTCCTTGCTGAAAAAACAGAGGTACAGGGGTGTTCTCTGCTGTCTGAAAATGAATATGCTGTATCTCCTGAGGGCCAGGAGGTGACAGCCAGCCCTGCTGAAAAAGAGGTGCAGGAGCCTTCTGTGACACCTGACAGTGAATATACTATCTTCCCTGAAGGCCAAGGTTTACAGTCTACCCTTGCTGAAAAAACAGTGGTGCAGGAGCCTTCGCTAATATCAGACAGTCAATATGCTTCATCCCCTGAAAGGCAGGAGTTTCTCTCTGCTCTTACTGAAAAAAGAGAGGTGCAGGAGTGTTCCTTGCTCTCTGAAAATGAGTATGATGTATCCCCTGAAGGTCATGATTTGAGGTCCAGTCCTGTTGAAAAAGAAATGGAGGAACCTTCTGAAACATCTGAAAGTGAAAGTTCAATGTCCACTGATAGCCAAGAGTTGCAGTCTACAGTTGCTGGAAAAACAGAGGTGCAGGAGTTGTCTTTGTCTGAAGGTGAATGTGCTATGTCCCCTGAAGGTCAGGAGCTGCAGTCTAGCCCTGCTGAAAAAGTAGAGGCTAAGGAACCTTCTCTGACATCTGAAAATGAACATGATCTGTCCCCTGAAGAGTATGAATCAAGACTGACACATGCTGAGAAAACAGAGAATATGGATTCTTCTTTTACATCTGAAAATGACCATGTTTTGTCCTTTGAGAGCCAGGAGGTAAGATTCACCTCTGTTCAAAAAGCAGATGCAAGGGAGCTTTCTCCAACACCTGAAAATGAATGTGCAGCATCCCCTGATGTCCAGGAGTCAAGATTCTATACTGATGGAAAAGTAGACCATCTTGAACCTTTGACACTAAATGATCGAGCCTCAATGTCCCCTGATGACAGTGACTTGAAATCCATCCCCATTGAAAAAATGGATGATGCAATGCCTTCTTTAATGCCTGAAAGTGGGTGCTCCATGTCCCCTGATGGCTACAGTGTGAAATCTGGCCCTGGTGAAGAAGCAGGCGACCTAGAGCCCTCTTTGATATCTGAACGTAGACATTCCATATCCTCATATCAGGAAAGTCATGACCTGAAATCTCCCATGGAGGAAGAGGGTCTAGAGTCCTCTTTGACTTCTGAACATAGACGATCTGTGTCCCCTGAGGACCATGACCGGAAATCTACCATAGATGAAGAAATGGATGATCTGGAGCCCTCTTTGACATCTGAACATAGGCGCTCCACGTCCCCTGATGAGCATGAGTCAAGATCTAGCATTGGTGAAGAAGCAGAGTATTTGGAGCAGCCTTTGACAACAGAACGTAGATGCTCCGTGTCTTCTGATGAGCATGAGTCCAGGTCTACCACTGGGGAAGAGGTAGAGGATGCAGAACCCTCCTTGACAGCTGAACGAAGAGACTCCACGTCCTCTGATGAGCATGAATCGAGGTCTACCACTGGTGAAGATATAGAAGATCGGGAGCCCTCTTTGACAGCTGAACGTAGACACTCCACATCCTCTGATGACCGTGAGTCAAGGTCTACAACTGGTGAAGAAGTAGAGGATTTGGAACCTTCTTTAACAGCTGAACATAGACGTTCCGTGTCTCCTGATGGACGTGAGTCAAGGTCAACCACTGGTGAAGAAGCAGAGGACCAGGAGCTCTCTCTGACAGCTGAACGTAGACACTCCACCTCCTCAGATGAACATGAATCAAGGTCTACCACTGGTGAAGATGTGGAGGATATGGAACCCTCCTTGACAGCTGAACGAAGAGATTCCACATCATCAGATGAGCATGAGTCAAGGTCTACCACTGGTGAAGAAGTAGAGGATATGGAACCCTCTTTGACAACTGAACACAGACGTTCCACATCCCCTGATGGGCGTGAATCTCGGTCTACCACTGGTGAAGAAGGAGATGATGTGGAGCCCTCCTTGACAGCTGAACGAAGAGACTCCACATCGTCAGATGATCATGAGTCAAGGTCTACCACTGGTGAAGAAGGTGAGGATGCGGAGCCCTCTTTGGCAGATGAAGATAAACAGGATTCCATGCCTCTTGAGAGGTTGGAGGAACAGGACTCTTCCTTTATACCAGAAAGCAGGCGTTCTGAGTCTTCTGAACGTGAAAAATCTAGATCCAAATCTGTTGATAAAATATCTGACAAAGAGTCTTCACGAAGATCTGTAAGCAGACGCTCAAAATCTCCTCGCCAAAAGAGTCGATCCACATCAGTTGAAAAAGTGGCAGACAAAGAGTCTTCACGGAGATCTAGACGTAGACGCTCCAGGTCTACTCTTCACCAGAAGAGTAGATCCACATCTATTGAAAAAACAGCAGACAAAGAATCTTCACGGAGGTCTAGACGTAGACGCTCCAGGTCCACTGCTCGCCAAAGGAGTCGATCAACATCTGTGGAAAAAGCAACAGACAAAGAGTCTTCACGGAGGTCTAGACGTAGACGCTCCAGGTCCACTGCTCACCAAAGGAGTCGATCCAAATCTGTTGAGAAAACAGCAGACAAAGAATCTTCACGGAGGTCTAGAAGCAGACGCTCCAGGTCTTCTCAGCGCAGATCCCAGAGGTATGATACAGAATCCCGCTCTAGACGAAATCGCTCCAGATCAGTAACTCGGAGGAGAGCATCAAGATCAAAATCTAATCGTCGGTCTCGGTCTAGCTCATTGTCACGTTCAAGGCACAGGAGGAGGAGTAGGTCTAGGTCAGCATCCAGAAGGCGGCGTTCTTTATCAAGAGACAGGCGTAAGAGATCTCAGAGAAATAGATCAAGATCGACTGACAGAAGAAGAAGAAGATCAGATTCAAGAGATCGTAGAATATCACTCAGATTACGGAGCAGAAGTCGAACACCTATTCGTCAAAGGCGATCGAGGTCAAGAGGAAGAAGACGGAGCTCTAGTAGGTCTCCAATTCGGCTACGGCGGTCAAGATCTTCAGGGAGAAGAAGATACAGCAGATCACCTGATCGTCGTAGGTCGAGGTCATCAGAACGATTTTCAAGCAGGTCACCTAAACGTCTTACAGATTTGGGTAAGTGATAGTTCTGTTTTCGGTAGTACCATGGTTAGGTGATCCTGAATTCATTCATACAGTCTTATTTTAATGTATTTCTGTAGCATTCATAAGGAGTTTTTTTGAAGTTATTTTGTGCATTACTTTTAGACAGTGACTTCCAGTAAGAACTTTTGTGTTGGAGGTAGATCAATGCTTACCATTTGGATGAAAGTGTATTTAGAGAGGTTATATCTTGGTTAGAGCCTTTATACAAAGGTAGTATGTTGCAGTCTTGAGGAACGCTGTTCATTGTAAGAGTAAATGCCAAGTACTCTCTGAAAAACTTAAAAATTTCTAATTTTCCTGAGATCAAATTGAGCGTGAAAGAGCATTTGAAAGTAAGTGACAGTTGGAGAGTTCTTTGCTCTGTCATCAGCTGTAATGCTTGTTTATTTGTTTCCATTACTCTGTCTTGCCTTTTTCATATGGTAAGAACTTAATGGGAAAGGAGACTTGTTTCTGAAAATAATTTCAGACTCAGGTGATTGGAAAATACAAATCCCTAATGAACTGCATCCCTTCTCTGTGACTGAAGGGAGGCCTTACAGTATCCTTGGATCATAAGTTATTTAAGGAGAAAGAAGGTTTTGAGTTAAGGTCATGTACAGTTTGTGGGGAAGATGCCTTCGGTGAACCTTAGGTTCTGATCCTTCTGTACCATGGAAACCCTTCTGCCAGAGAAGTATTTTTGTAAAGAACACGAGATTTACTGAGCATCCTTGAATCTGCTTTCATGCTTTGATTATGCAACAAGTCTGTACCTATATACTTATATTGCTTAAGAAGTAGAGGAATATTGTTCTTTTAGGATTTTTGTAAAGCTGTATGCTTGCAGAGATAGTGATAACTCATTTATTTGCAAATGGGCAGATAAATAAGACTTGATTTATTTTCATTCCCTATTTCTGTCATAGGACCACATGTGCTTTTTTTCCTTAATAAAGCAAAATACTGTTTTATTAACAGTTTTGCGTGTAATTGTATTTTATGCGAAGTGCACATTTTACTCAGTATTTCTGGTTTTTCTGTTGGTTGGAAGTAACTTCCAGGCTATGTACTGGGAGACTTAAAAGGTCTTGTGTCCCCCTCAATGCTTTTCAGAGGTAACTGGGAAGTAATGCACAATGAGGGTAAAATCTTGTGTTTTCTCTTTGTACTTTGTTAGTCTGCCAGAAATGCTTATTTATTATTAAAGCAAGAATCTGTAAAAATAATAATTTAAAAAAAAAAAATAATTTTTTAGACAAGGCCCAGCTACTTGAAATAGCCAAAGCTAATGCTGCTGCCATGTGTGCTAAGTCTGGAGTTCCCTTACCACCCAGCTTGATGCCTTTGTTATCTCAAAAGAAAGACGACAAAGCCAATCAGAAGTCATCAAGAGATACACTGAAGGAGCTCACTGAGGTAAGTGAGAACAACAGTATCAAACGTGAAAATAAGCAAATGGGGTTTTTTGTGACAGTAGGCAAGCTGTCACTCTGTATGCTAGCTTCATGTGTAAGCTGGCTTGTGGTTTGAGCCCTTTTTCTCTAGACAAGTTTTTTTAAGTAATTTTAAGTAATGGAAACGAGGTTTTTAATTCCTTGGAAATGCATGAAATGCAATTGGTTTGCTTTTTTGTTTTGTTTTTGTTCTAATTTTGTACAAATCGGTAGTTCTTGCACTCCTTCAGTAAAAACCGAAAGCTTTCACTTCTGGTTTTTCGTTCTGGTGTTAGTCATATTCTTCTATTAGTGAATTCTTCTATTAGTGAATTTCACATGTTATCTTTGGGTTAAAAACCTTGTGTTCGCTTCACGTATGTATTTTAATATGCACTCCAAGATATTTTTAGAGAATGGCTGTTTTAGTTCTATCCCATTGCAGTTCAGGTCTACAAATGGGATGGTTTTGTTCTGGGGAAAAATTTGCTACTTGTCTTTTTACCTTAGTAATGTCACCTTGTTCAATTTGCTAATTTCCTCCTATGTTTTTTCCCCAAAAAACTAGAGAAAATTTGGAATGGGGAAAAAAGTTCTTTTGGGTTCTTGGTTTGTGGGTTGTTTGGTTTTTTTTTTGTAATTGCATAATCAGTGTGACAGTTTTAAAATACATGTTTATGGAAATAACATCTGAAATTAGGCAATGTCAAAGTGCTGAAAAGTGATCTCTTAGTTGTATGTGGACTCGTGGAAGCAGAAGTACTTGTTAGTAAAAAAGCTGAGATTGTGCAGATAGACTGTGCAGACATCATAATTGGTTCTTCATTTAACCTGACCAGGATCCAGTGTAGCTAGTGCTAATTTGGAAGCCCAAACCCTGCCCCTTCCTTGCCCTTCCCAGCTGTGCGAACCTGTTGGGTGATGTTCCTGTTCTGTTGAATCAAAATTGGCCACAGAGGCAGTCCAGGCCTTCATCCTGTGGTCGTGTGCACAGGTAGAGAACCTTTCCAGAGCCTGTTCAGCTTCTCGTGGGAAAACTAGCTGCCTTGTCTTCTCTACAATGTAACCTGTAAACTGGACAAACTGCTTCCAATTAGTTGTGAGCCAACAACTATAGAAAAAACATTTTGTTGATGAGCTTTCCAAATAGTGCAGGCTTTTCCTGTTGCCTAAAGAATGTGCTTCAGTCATTGTTTGGAGGTACCTCTAGTACAGAAGGGTGCAGGAGTCGTCTTTTTTTTTTTTTTTTTAAATAAGGACTGAGAACAGTGTCATCAGCGTGTCTTGATTTTTAGTGATGGAGCTGTCTGCTCCTTATATGTCAACAATCAGGTCATCAAACAGATGTGGCTTACAATGGTATGACCTTGAGCTAGAATCAGATCAGATGATAGCTTCATCTTGCTATTATTTTCTCAAATACTATGTCCTCAAATGTGTGAAAGTCTTGTAAGTACACTTTTCATTTATGGGGACATACTAGAAGCGTGATAGTAGACTATAATGTTCTCAAATGCATTTTGAATTGACTGAGAGTTGCTACTGGTAAAGACTCAGTGCCGTGTTCACTAAAGAGTTTTTCATCATAAAATTCTAGTGCCTCTAGAATGTCTTTTTTCTTCCCCCAATGCCCAGGTTCTCTTTTCATTTGACTGAAGTATCCCCATAGTATCTATATATTTTATAGTCAATTTCTGTTGACTATAAAATGAGGATGTCTTGTGTACCTGGCCAATGTCAGTATTTCAGAGGAAATCTGAGATCTTTTGGAGCCATTGCTTCTGACTAGGTCCCTTTGCTACCAGTTGAACTTAAAATTAGTAACTAATAATGCTTAGGTTTTCCTCTGTAGTAGTTCTGTGAGTTATACTGACATATCTATCAGATTGCAATATGCTAGTTATGTGGGATGCCAAACAATGAGTGAGTTCCTGCTCTGGAATGTTTGCAGCCTTATACATGCATTCTGCAACTAGCACTGTGCAGGAAGTTTTACAGTATGCTGCTGAAATCTTACGTCTGTGAAATTATTTGCTGTATAAGTGCCTAGCAGAGCAGACCTAGGTAGGTCTTTGATAATGTATCTAAAATGTCAAAAGTACATCTGTTGATGACATTGCAAAAAAATTTATCTACTTCTTGTGCTTCAGAAAAGAAAACTATTTTTTTCTAAAAATGTTGTCTTTGTACATTTTGGTTTTCTTCCCTCCC